CCCTGAGGGCGGGTGGGAACGCGGTCGAAGACGCGTCTGCTGTAGTATAAACTCGTAGTATAGTGACATGGTGCTAAATTTCGAGCTTACCTATTCCCATGTCCTAACTTTAATGCTGATCCTAATCCAAGTTCGACAGGCTCCTTTTCCTGACCCTACCAGAAGGGGGAGCATATAAACTATTCCCACAGCCAAGGCTTCCGATAAGTGAATAACTATGGACTCTTTATGATTTTGTCAAGTATAGACTTTGAAAACTCCAGTGCCAAATCTCACTTGATAGTGCGTACGCAACTGCTTCTCACAGATACCGCACACGAAAGTACTCATTTCACTCGATACGCACACCTCTTCCTCCATCCTCTCGGTTCATTTGTTCTGGAGGAACGTTTCGCGAGCCAATGCAGTTATTCATCTCGGATTTCGATCTGTTCAGGCACCGTCCAAAATTCCTGTTGCTGAGACCCATTATACACAACGCCTAGATTTCGTTTCGTTAAAAATCTGTCAGTTAACGCTCTCGATAATCATAAAATTTCAAAAAAATGAATGACGTCCATCCACTTTGGGAAAAAATCGATTTGTTGTAGCTATGCTATTGGTCGGTGGTGGCAGTCGTCTCAATCTGGACGGAAAACGTGCTTCCTATGCCCCAATGCAGGCGAGACGAAAATATGGCACCTCAAATGGTCTACTTATCGTGGACAGCCATATTTTGGCATTTTATTTAGTTTGTGATAAAATCTTGTCCGTAGTCGAAGTTTTAATTAGTAATCGCTCATACTTAGAGGTTCGTGGTGAAAATAAAGGTCCTTATTTTGTCTTTCTTCTGAGTTGTTGTAGTTCTTGATGATCCTATTGACAGTTTTCTATAGCACTAACGGTGAGCTCGACGAAACACTACGTCGTTAAGTGAGAAAATTCTGAGTAATCAACAATTTCCGGATCCTCATATCAATTTTGTTCTTAAATGCTTCCTGACGCGAGAATGGGGAGAAATTGGGTGCAAGTGGCGTGGTCTTTTCTTTCTGGTAAATGGAAAATGTGTTTTAAGGAGAAACTTGGTCTTTTTCCTTAGTGCATTCACATACAGGAAGAACGATTCATCAGCTTGGGTGAAATAAACAGCTGTTCCATAGTAATTGGGGCAAGGTCTTTGTCCCTCATAAGGGTATTTTTGCATGTAGGCGGGCAAGGACCAAGGACATGCCTTTTAGTACGGCTGTCTTAAGAGGTATGCGATCTAAAATAAGTCAAACGAAACTGTCATTTTATGACGTCGTTCGTTTGTGCATGAAGTGGTCGGGTAGTTTCAACTCCAGTATACCTATGCCTGTGTAGCGG